TTGGAAGTCTGATGTATGCCATGGTTTGTACCAGACCAGATATTGCTCATGCAGTGGGAGCTGTTAGCAGGTACATGAATAATCCGGGCAAGGTACACTGGGAAACAGTCAAATGGATCCTCAGATATCTGCGAGGTACCAGAAACAAAACACTTTGTTTCAAAGGTGGAGATACGATACTGACAGGCTATGTAAATGCTGACTTAGCTGGAAATGTTGACATCAGAAGAAGCACTACAGGGTATGTCTATACTCTAAGAGGTACTTCAGTGAGTTGTGTTTTTCAACTACAGAAGATAGTTGCTCTCTCCACAATTGAAGCAGAATATGTCGCTGTTACGGAAGCCAACAAGGAGATGGTCTGGCTCCAAAGTTTCTTGGAAGAGTTAGGCAAGAAATAAGAAAACAATGTCTTGTACTGCGATAGTCAAAGTGCTATCCATCTAGCAAAGAATCTGTCTTTTCATTCCAGGACGAAGCACATACAACTGCGATATCATTTTATCGGTCTCTTTTGGAAGATGGGATTTTGAAACTTGAAAAGATTAGTGGAGCTCAAAATCTGGCAGACATGTTGACAAAGACGGTGACCACGGACAAACTGAAGTTGTGTTCAACTTCAGTTGGCATGCTAGAGTAACAAAACCAGAAATGCTGCTTCATTAATCAAGGTGTGAAGACATATTAAAATTAGTCTTCAAGTGGGAGATTGATGAAAAAAGTCAATTATTGTGGCTGCTAGGGGGCATTGAATTCCACCAATTTCGATGCAATAAAATGTGTTGATTTATTTGGGTAATTGCAACTTTAGTCATTGCAATTTTTAGGGTATTAACAAGATTAATCCTTAAGCTTTAACTATAAATATCCTAGCCCATTTAGTTTCAAAATCATCCCAAAATCCCAAAATCATTTCTTTCTCCCATTACTAGAGAGTTTTCTTGTGAGTAGTGAGTGTTTTGTAAACATTTGTAAAATTTCTCTCTTAGTAAAAGATCTGCAGCAGTCCGGAGATGTAGGATAATTGGCTGAACTCCGTTATAAATTTAGGGTATTATTTTTCCGCTTTTATTTCGCATTCTCACTAATCTGATTATAGGGAAATTACTCGTACTCGTTTATTTTTCCCGTGTATTCAAACACTTCATATTGAAATAAAATAGGACGGTGGTCTGAGCCTAACCTGTCAAGATAAAGAACTGAAGAGTTAGGAAACACCTCTAGCCACTTATTATTTGCTAGGCATCTGTCTAGTCTCTGTCGAAGATTGCCTCGAAACCACGTGAACGAGGACCCTGGAATCCAATACCCACAATAGCATTATAAAACACGAAATCATTGAAAGCTTTACTTACTCCCAAACGACCAAACGCCCCACCCAATCTTTCATTCAAATTAAGAAGAGCATTAAAGTCACCGCCAAGCAACCAAGGATGATCGTTACCAGGATGAAGATTGGAAAGTTGAGGCTACAGAAGTTTATGTAGTGCAATATGTGGACTAGTGTAAACAACAGTAATATACACAGGATGCACAATCTTATCAACTTTGATACGAGCATGTATAAATTGATTAGAGATATGCAGCATCTCCATTGTAACATTATGGTTCCACAGCATCCAGATGCCACTACTGAAACCACAAGCTTCAGCACGAAAATAATTCTAGAAACCCAACCGATGGATAATTTTATCAGTTTTACGCCCACTAATCCTTGTTTCAAACAAAAAAACCAGAGAAGGTCGATACTTGGACACAAATTGCTTGAAGTAACGACGATAAAGGGCTTTCTACCCCTTGGCTATTCCAAAACATACAATTAATCATTAAAAATAATTAAGAGTCAGATGATTAAGACTGACCACCGCTTGAAGATGGTACATAATTCTCGGTCAATGTCGAACCCTCGTAGCAAGGATTCAGGTACGTTACTGTTTGGCCATCGCCTTGATTCTCTAGATCCATCCGATCATTGGATAGCCCATCAATCATGGTGGTTGCCGACTGAACCCAATAGCTAAGTAAAGGGCGTCCAGGTAGTTTATAATTTGGTTGCTTCTTGACCTTAAGACTCTTAACCACCTGGACATTCCCTACCTTCAAAGCTCCACCTTTTTCAAGATCGCCACTTCCTTTTGAAACCATGCGTTTGTTAGGCTTGTTCTCATTGATGGTAACCACCACATGTTTACCTCCATTTTTAGTAGCCTCCTGAAACTTAACAGTGGGTACAACACCCATAGTTAATGGAACGACATTAATACTTCCACTTCTATTTTTCTCAATACCAAGTCATTCTTGTTATTGGTCATTACCACTTTTGAGTTTGTGGTCTCTAAGGTTTGATTAATTTTATTCAAATTCCCCTTACTACTCCTACCCTGACTTGAAACTCGGCCAAGACCTGGTTCCCATTGTCCTTAGTGTTTCCATCGTACACCCCTTCTGTGGACTGACCATCACTCCCTTCCATATTGGGGACAACATTAGGATTCACATTTTCAGTTTCTTCCTCCGGTTTTATTTGATCTAGAAGTGCAAATTTAGATTTATTACCAGTTCGTGGCCCCAGTCGCTCTCCCGCCTTCGGTCGTTTTACGAAGTCTACGTTTTCGATTAGCTGCAATGATCCAAGTTCCAAATAGATCACTAATGGCATCGCTCGCTATCCCGGTTATATTTTCAGTGTTCGGGTTGATTTCATTATTAGTTGTAGGAACCGTTGGTTGAGTCTCACATTCATTTTGCACATGCCCATATTTTCCACAGCGGAAACATATGTTTTGTAGGCCTTCATACTCTATACGTTGAACAAAATCATCAATACCAACGCAACGTAGGAGTGGCTTAGTGAGATCCACCGCAACAACCAACCCAGCGAACTTGCCTCTTTCACCAGCAGTAGGGTTGTAGTCCACCTTAATGACCTTCCCTATTTCTGAAGCAATCAACCGAAAAAGGAATTTGGAGTAATATCCATATGGTAAACCTGACAACCTAATCCAAACAATTATCTGCGAAGGATGATCATCTGATGTACTGAAATTCCTCGACCAAGGTTGAACTATTAAGTAATTCCCAAAAATTATCCATGGCCCCAATTTGGAGTAATATCCATATGGTAAACCTGACAACCTAATCCAAACAATTATCTGCGAAGGATGATCATCTGATGTACTGAAATTCCTCGACCAAGGTTGAACTATTAAGTAATTCCCAAAAATTATCCATGGCCCCTCCGTCGAGATTCTAGTGTAATCATTTTCATTTTCCAAACGAACCAAGAAATATTCGCTGTCCAAGTCAATGAGTTAGAATTGCCCCTGGGGTTGCCATAGCAATTTATTTTTATTCCATAACATCCAGTAACCAATCGTTCGGCCTAGAAGACAAACAATGACCGATTCCCTCATATAATGGTCGATAGCGTTATGCATCCAACTCGAGAATTGAACAACCGGGTAAAGGCCACTCCGATCGATTGACACATCACCATCTTGAAAGACTATGTCCTGATCAACAAAATCAATCTTTCCACTTTTATCAACACTGGAAACCCCCTTCAACGTTCTCGCCGCATAAGACAAGGCCTTAGATGCCGATACCACGGGCTGAACTTCACCAACAATCTCTCTGACCTCCATTGATAAACCAGGCACATCGTCCATAGCGACATCCTCTCCATTCTCTATCGCTGTCTGCTGTTAACACTGGGTTACTGCACGTAACCTCCCAATTCCTACTATTTTTGATGATCTAACGCTCTCCACAGGCAACAGAGAGCCCGACCTTTCCAGCACTGACATAACATGAATCCCGACGGCCAGTGGTACCAGTTGCACCGAATCCTTCATACACAACCCTAACTTGTCTAACAAGAATCCCAAAAATTACGAAGCGTTTTTACATTACAAGATGCAAGGAATTGATTTGATCATTTTTAACGACTCACATAATTTTGTTTGGACAAAATAAATAAATAATACTTATTTAGATTAAATATTAATTTTCTTTTGAATTTTTACTGATCTTTAAAATTTTAATTTTAAAGTGATATTAATTCTTTTCATATTATGACAAATTATTTTAAACTTCATGAGTATTTTTTTATTAAATCAAATATTTTTAAAACTAAAAATAATGAATAGCATATATGTCCCTTGCAAATTTATTTTCAAGTTAGGTTATTATATTTTTATTTAAATAAAATAGTGATTATTTATCAACTTTTACAGCAGTGTTTTTACTACGACAAAGTTATTTATTTGAATGTTTTTATTAAATTAAATAATAAATAATTTTTGTATTGGTTTTTTTATATTTATGTTTACATTATCATTAACGTTAACATTAAGTTCCTTTGTAAGTCCTCAGCTGATTATTTTCATTAAATTATATATTATATATTTATCTCACAGTCGAGATATTTGTTTGACATTCATGTTCAATCCAATTTATATAATCGCTATTTATTGAAATTTTTTGTTTATCTTGAAGCTATTTATTGAAATTTTTAATTTTTTGGTTTGAATATAATTTTGGATCTAATTTTTTTTATTTAATCCTATGGTACAAATATTAATAAAATTATAAAAATGTCACGGGTGAAAAGTATTAATAAAATAAATTAAAGTGACTAAAATAAAAGTAATTCGAAAGTTGAGTAATTAAATAAAAAAATTTAAATTTTGGTGAATAAAATAGGAGTAGTAAGATAATTCAACGGTGAACATATGGTTGTCCCTTGTTCCCATATGTAATGGGGTAAGGGGAGGTAAGATAGTAGGCTGCCCTCAACACCAGGTTGAGGGCAGCTTCCGTAGAAGACCTCCGAATTATAAAATGCCCTCCGTGGGACTCGATCCCACGACCTCAAGGTTAAGAACCTTGTGCTCTACCAACTGAGCTGGATAGTCATCTCATAACAAAATGATAATTTTGAGTGAGTATAACTTACTAATCTAAACACCAAATTACTAGTAGATTTTGGGGACTGCCAATTTCAAATCTGCTGCAAAAAGAGCGGAAGCAGCTCAGATTTTCGAAAATTTGAAACCCCCTCTCCCTCCAAGGTAAAGCTTGCTCATTTCCCACCACTTTCTTGCCCATTTCCCTCTTCTTTCTCATCTCGTAATAGAATATCCACTCACCCAAAAGAAACAAGAATATTCTTTCTCCGAATATGTAGGAACCCTAGAACCAAAAGTTTCAATCTTTGTCAGTTTGAACTTCTTTTCTTCTTTAAATAAGCTCAGGATTCAACTCTACCCTTACTGATTTTCTTCTTCTTTTACCAACGGTTTCCTAGCAATCGGATAAGTTTCGTGAACAAACGTAACTTAATTACTTTTTTTTTCGTTTTTTTCTTTGGGGGTGTTTGCTTCTTAAGGTTAAGTAGTTTTAAGGTAAGGGGATAATAGATTTGAGTTTTAAAAAGTTGATGTCATGATTTGTTTCATATGCTCGACTTATGCTTCTATTTGGTATTATTGGTGTTTAGGATTTAGATTTCGGCGACTATTATAGCAAGAACTTTGATTTGTTTAGTGCTTTGAATGATTCAGAATTACTTTGTTGGCTGATGTTCTTTATAGATTTATTTGGTTGGATTTCGGAAACGGATGGGAAGTAAGAAAGATAAAGGTTTCTACCATAGCCTTTCAAGAAAAGAGCTTCAAAGTTTATGTAAGAAATATGATCTGCCTGCTAACAGGTCGAGCTCGGATATGGCTAGATCACTGGCCTCCTTTCTAGAGGTAATTTATTAAGCTATCCCTTTTGTTGGCAACTAAGAGTTGAGAATCTGAAAGCATATCATACTGCTTTTTGCCTATATGTTAGCTTATATTGTGTTTTAGTACCATTATGTTATATGCATCTGGATGTAAATTTTGATGGCCTGCCATATACAAAACATGCTCTAATATTCTTTATTCTTCACATAGGTTTTTTTATTTTTGTAAAACATGTTACCAAATTTACATGACTTTGAAGATCTTGTTTATCCCATCATAAAATATCTTTGAAAAATATGCAGAACCAGAGATTGAGTTCAATGACTAGGAGGGAAAGATTATATGAAATTCAAGAGACTGGACTTCCATTGTCCCTGCAACTCCCTTTCAAGGATGCTGATAAAGGTATTAACTAGTTATTGTGTGCCTAAGCAGTTTCATTTAGTTTTCTTTACTATGATTTCCTTACTACAGTTGATGCGCCATAGTAAGAATAGCATCTGGTTACTTCTGCAGATTTCTATGGACTCATCTCTTGTCCAGCAGGCAGTTGTAATGGAGGGAATTATTCTCAAGCAGTTAAAAATAATGGATTGGATTGTTGTGCAGGGGATAAATTTTATCATAAGGTTTGCTTCTTGGATGTTTATGTTTAAGTTATGGATATTATTTGACACCTGATGCAACCAGATAAATCCCATATAATTCCTCACTTCATATTCCCCATTGGTTCTCTCCTGTAGCATGTGTTAGGTTAAGGCAGTTGTTCCTGCTGAAAGATATAGACCTTTTCATCTAACCAGAAGTGAGAAGATCTCATCAACCCACCCAACACCACAACCAAAAGGAAAATACTATGGTGCACTAAGATTTTGCCGGATGACACTTTTGTATTCTAGTCTATGGCCTGTGAAAATTAACTCGAGGGCAGCTTTTTAAGCAAGATGTATCTGGCAGAAAGATGTGGATGCTTTAGCCTGCAATTCTTAATTGTTTGTTTTTAAGAACTCAAAACTTGTTTCTAATTATCCGGGTCCGTCAATGCAGGATGACTATGGTGGTGATTCTATATTCTTCCAGAAAACACAACAGCTTCAGTTTGTTACTCAGTCTAATGATAGTGGTTTAAAGAATAAAGAGTTCCCAACTATATACTTCAACAGAAATTGTTTGAGTCCTACAAGACAAGGGAAGATGAATGATTTGCCTCAAATTGGAAACAAAGATGTGAATGTTGGTGCATGTTCTAATGAGGCTGACTTTCATTCCTCCATAAACACTTCTACTGTTTCTTCCTCTTCTTTTCAGTTTCATGTAAAATCAGAAGAGGGCATTGATCTTTTTGTTGATTTAAATTCAAATCCATTAGAATGGGTTGAGAAATTGAAGAGTGAGGTTTCTATATGCCAGAACATGTCCCATAGCAGGTCTCAGAGTTTCCGTAATGAGCTTGGGCACTTTGGGGAAAGTAGTAAGCAGTTGAAAAGTTCTTTTCAATTGAATGTAGAAACTGGGAGAATAGCAGATGGCCATATACACTCTGGATTACCCCCAAGTTTGATCATAAAAGAACATCATGCATTGCAGCTTGATAAGTCAAATGGAGATGAAAGGCCCACAGACTCCACTGTAATGACATGCGCTGAAGCTGTGGATGTGTCAGAGCACTTAGAAGGACATCAAGGACTGCCCACATTTAAAGCTCTTCCCAATGTTCAAGAGGAAGTAATTTCTTCTGGTGCATCCTCTGCTAAAGATGGATGTTTGATAACTCTTGATTCAAATGTTAGTTCTCCCAAGGAGACGTTAGCCAGTGATGCTATGTTAAATATATCAGATGGTGCACCAAATCTTCTCATAGTGAAGCATAAGAATTCTAATCTTGAAAATGAAATATGTGATAATTCTACCCTGCAAAATGGTTGTAATCCTGTGAGTTCTGGTGTAATAGTTCCTGGATTCATGTCAGATGATTCATTGCAGATGCCAATGCCCAAAGACGTGTCTCACCAAAAAAAGGCATTGCATTCACCTTGTGAAAATGTTGAATTTGGGAATTTGGTTGATCAAAAGCATAATACTTATGCGGAACAAGGTGGAGTAGTAGGCTCAACTGGGCTTTGTCAAGAGATATATAGGAATCAGTTGCCGACATTAGTCGAAGAACAGGTAATAGTTCACTTTGTCTTGTCTTCTACTCTGGCTCCTAATCTTGTTCTCTTCTCATTCTGTTTTGCATTGCGCTACTCCTCTATTTATGTTTCTTTATTTTGTGAAATATTGTTTTAGGTGTTATTTTCTAGTTACATGGCCATTCTTTATGAATATGTATTTAGTGGATTCATCATAAGGGTAGAAGAAATCTTCTTTTATTATCTTCCTCTTTTTACCTATAATAATCTGAACACTTTGGTTTAGTAAAATCAATTTATTTACTTTTTATGTTTCTGTTTATGGGTGGGGACGAGAGGTGGGCTTAGAATTTTAATACTTATCTATTTTGTCCTAGTATACTCATTGAAACAACTAAAATTATACATTATGAAACTGCTTGCAGGATAGGAGCAAAGTTATTAATTGGGGAGAGAGTTCGGAGTAATTATCCTTCATAATTTAATTATATGCTATAGAATATTTATTTTATTGTTGATTTGGTTGTATAACTGCCCTTTCCAGATGCTCACATGATGAATTATTTGAAAATTGTGGAGTGCTTGATAATCTCGATTCTAATGGGCTTGGGAAAAAGAGAGCATATATAGATGGCGATCAGAATGATTGTGGCATGCATGATGCCAAGGTTTTAAGAAGCAGAAAGCATCCTATTAGGAAGGTAGATGATCAAAATGATTGTAGCATGCTTGATGTCAAGGTTTTAAGAAGCGGAAAGCAGCCTAATGGAAAGGTCGTTGGTGATCAAAATGATTGTAGCATGCATGATGCAAAGGTTTTAAGAAGCGGAAAGCATCCTATTAGGAAAGTTGTTCCTAGAAGATCCATGCGGCTGGTTTCCAAGGTTCTTTTTTCTTTTACACTTTCTTTCCTGTTCAATTAATTGCAATATGCCACCCATTTGAAATATAACCACGCAGTTTGGTTTACACATGAAGAAATGTTTGTTCTTTTTGTTCTCCTGATTTTATGTTTAACATACAAGGAAATCGAAAGTTAGTTTCAGTTTAACAAAAAGTTTATGGAATAAGGTTGTAGTTTTCAAGTTGGTGTTCATGCAACTAGTTTGCTGTTATATCAATCTTGTGTCCGGAAGAGAGAGAGTGGATTTAGCACTGATGAATGCCAGATAATAATCCATCCCTTTCCATTTCAGGGTCTTCATATTCTACTGACTTTGTTCTCCTATTGGTGTTCCTCATACATGGGGACACCTACAAGCATGAGATTCTAGATCCACTGTTTTTGATGTAGAACATGTTTTATATGTTAGTCGATAGTTGGCATATGTATATGGGGTGAATTTATTATGATAGTTATTTGATTGAACCATGCTTGATTGCATCTCTTTAAAGAAGATAATAGAATTTGAAATGTAGGACTGTGCATAAAACTGACATTGTTTAAAATTAACCTTAATCATGCTGGGATAGTTTCTTACCTTAATCAGCTCCGTTTGTGGCAGAACTTCCACTGTATTAGGCTGCTATTGTAGACTATGATGCAATGAATTACAATTTTCCAGATTTAAATTTGCTGTGTATTAGATTTTCTTCAGTTTGTCTGAAAATATTCAGTTTATTCTTTTCTTCTTCAGTGATTTACGAAGTCTGTGCCAGCGAAATTCGAAATATTGATTTCAGTTTTCCTTAGGAATTCATATTGCAAAGTCAGGTATTGTCTAGAGTAAGTGTTACATAATAATTTTGCATAATAATTTCATTTGAGCTCACACTTAAGAACATGTTGGTTTAATTGAAATAACATATGCCAACCCATGTTGGGACAGATGAATCCATTATTGTCCAAATCTTTGTTAGTATCATTGTCATGAAAACCTATGTTTTTCGGACTCGGTGTTAGATACGAGTATGCTTATTTTTTTTAAATTCTTTTATGTATTATGAAATCTTTGAAGGTTATGTCTTTATACGTATGTTAGATACTAGTGTTGAACTCGGACATTTGAAGAAAAGAAAATGAAAGTATCCGTTTATAATTTTTTTAGGCTATTGATAACGCACTCTTTACTGGTGCAGCTCAATGAAATCACTCAATGAGTTCAACTTATGACGGATTAGAATTTTCTTTTTGGATATGTTTTATGTGCTAGGGCATAAAAGCTCTAAAATAATGCATAATTATGCTGATGGTCAGTTAAACAAAGAATTAGTTTTTGGCTTACTTTATTGGATAATTATTTTGATAGACTGGCTGTGAGTTTTAGTTTGATGTGACATGTTTTCAATTGTTTATTTAAATAGCGATTAATGATACATGATATGTTATAGTAGTTTATTTTATTAAGAATGATTTTATAATTTTATTTTTTCTCTTTTTACAAGAAATATATATAAAATTATTATTATTTTTATGTATAATAGGGATACTAAAAAGTGAAAACTACTTCACATTTTTTATTATTTTATTTTTTAGGCCTTCTAAATATCAGCTTAAATGTGGTGTAATGCAAAATTTCATGCGTATAAATAGTTCCTTTTTTAATTCAATTAAATATTTAAATTCAGAAATTAAATCAATTGATTCTTATGTTAATTTTAATTTTTCTTAAATGAAAATATTACTATATGTGGCACACGTTAATTTTATCATTTGAAATTTATAAATTTTTTTAAAGAAAAAAGTTAACAAATTATTAAAAATTATAATATTTTTAATTTTTTAAGAAGACCAATTGTCAATATAATGTGGTATGAGATAATGCAACAGCAATCGACCTAAAAATTTATTAAATTTAATGATCAATATTAATTAAAAACGTAAATTGATAAAATTTATTCATTGAATACAATTAACTGTCATTAGCCAAAAAATTAATTTAGATATTTTATAATTATGTGTTTATGAAATAGAAACATTTTATTAAATTTTAGAAAAATAAACACAACTCAACTCAGCTATAAGAAAAGCTGATACTGAAAAACATAATGAAGTTGAAGTACGTTGGGCGGTTGATTACAGCTTATGGTCCTTAGGCTATGTCAGTTCCTTATTATAAATGTGGCACATGCTTCGGTTGCTTTTCTGTCATCATTTAAATCAAAATTTTGCTCAATTTTTATTTACTATTCATATTCATATTTTTATTTCATTTAATCTATAAATGTATTATACAATATTTATATTAATAACCAGTTGATTTAGTAAAATGAGACATTAAATTCTTCACATAGAGCCAGAGATCTAAATCTTAATATTGTAAATGAAAAAAATATATTTGAAGGATCATTTTTATAATAGACTTCTATAATACTTAATCTCAAATAATTAATTAGTAAATTAAAATTAGTGATTATAAAAAAATTATGTAATATTCATGTTCTCTCAATCTCTTTTGTGGTTGATCATCATCAATATTAAATATTTTTTAATTAACTGAAAAATATGTTTTTTGAAAACATTTTAAATTTAACGTTTTATCTTAGAGAAAAAAAATCATATTTTAAAATGTTGATAACTATTTTTATCGATAGAAGAACTTTTCACCCAAAATAAAATGGAGGTCAAATACTAAACGATAAAATAAAATAATTATTTAATTGAATATTAGTATATATTTTTATCATTATACTGATAACTCCTTAAAAATATTATATTTTAGGTCTTTTTACTTCAGTTATTGGTTGTCTAAAAGCAACTGACATATAATTTTAGTTGCATATAATTGCATTTAGGACATCTTTGTATGTTGTGGATAAGTTTTGCCGTGGAAAAATTTATTTGATTAAACTGACGCTGATGATGAGAAGGGTTGTGTGTTGGCTGTAATGATATAGGTGATAAGAAATGACCGAGGAGGAATTTATCTGCCGAGGCAAATTCTGTGTCAGGGCCAAAGGAATTGAAGACGATGACCGTGAGGAATAACTTTTGCCACGGTGAGTTTTATCTTGCAAGTCTGACGCAGTACAAGACAAAATTACTGACGTCGCGTGGCTAGCTGTCCAATGCACCTCACGTGAACCCCTGCCCTTACTAAGGATTTGGGACTACTGCCATTTGTCATTTTATTCACACAATGGGTGTGAATTCAGGGGTAGTTGGGGAAATTTTAAGGGCACTAAGCCCTAAAAATTCCCCACTATAAATAACACATTATACCCTCCATAAAGGGATGAAAACATATACCCTAAAAGAAAAGCTTCAAGAAAGACGGCTGCAACACCTCTTTTCCATCGTTCACCCTCTTGTCCGTCCTTGGTGCCCTCCACAGCCAGGCTTCGTGGAGCAACGGCTAGGCCCTCGAAAGAGGCTAGCTCACTAGAGCAGTCATGGTGGTGGTCTGATGTCACGTCAGATCTCTGTTCTAAGAGTTTTTCTTCCTCTTGCTCTTATTTCTTATATTTTAAGGGTTTGTACTTAATGAATATATTTGGGATGATGTTAGCACACTTTGGTGTTAGAAATGCTTGTATGATATTTTAATTTATGGTTAATGAATGATTAAGTCTGTTTTGTTAATTGTTGTTTTGTTCTTTGTTTTAATCTTTTTCCTTGATACTGTAAGAGCTTTTGAAAGATTGTCTGGTGCTTGACAAAAATATTCCTAGTCTTTGTAAGGCCTTTTGAAAGATAGTCGTTTTTTTAGGAGTTGCTACCTAATATCAGAGTTAGATTAGATCTACTTGAACAAGGGAACTAATCCAGGATTGAGATGTTCTAATCCAGGATTGTGATGTTCTAATCCGCCTTAAAGGATGAATGCTTAAGTAGATAGGCTAGCGCTACTGTTTACGCTGAGGGATATTGTTGTAGCAACAGTTTGACAAACCAAGGGTTGTAGTTCACGCTGAGTAGTATTGTCGTAGCAATAGTTGTCAGGTTTCGTGCTAGAGATACTCTTGGAACACTTTAGTAAATCTTGTCGGGTAACATAGGCTTAGCATACTAGATCATCCTAGACATAGATTAATTTATAGTCGTAACAAATTCAACCCAAATGTTCCGTTAAAAGTCTGATTATGTGAGGTTTTCAGTTTATATTCAAAACTTAAACATTTTAGCCTTAACAACTTTTATTTGTTTACTATTGCATATTTTTCTTGCCATAACAAAACTTTTATGCTCACTTCACTTTACACTTTTCTTGCCTCGACATACTTTTTCCATCTGTTCATACCATTTGCTATTCTTATTTTTTCTTTGTGAATACCATTAGACAGGAAACTTAGGATTAGTTAGTGACACCTAGTTCTAGCTATAACAATCTTTAAAGATTTCCTCTCAATCTATGTGGAGATGATAACTCAATTACTACTATATTACTTGCATCGATTGTGATACTTGCATAGATTTGCATACCTCAATACACACATTTACATGCGATTAAGTTTTTGGCGCCGTTGTCAGAGATTGACAATTAGTGTTTTTAAAAGTTTGTTATAGTATTATCTTGTTTCTTTATTATTATTTTTTCTTTATGGATTTATTCACTATTTTTGTTTACCCTTTTCAGGTGTTGTGTTGTTGCATGACTTGTAGAAGTCCCAAGAAACCATTATCTCATTTTGAACCAGAGATAAAAAATATTTTGTGTCAAAGAAAATGTGTTCAAGGAGCTTAAAGAACTATATATGAAGTTCAAAATGAAGTGGAGGAACCTGAAGAATTAAATGTCACGGAAAATAAAAATGCAAAGAATGCTACAAGACCACGAACTATTAGAGATCATTTAACTCCCACCTTGGATGACCTAAAACATGCTATTGTAGCTCCCAAGATTCAAGCAACCTTCTTCGAGCTCAAACCGGTTATGTTCAACATGTTGGACTTGATTTGACAGTTTGGTGGTACTCCTTATGAGGATACGAGACAACATGTTCGAGCATTTTTAGAGGTATGTGACTTCTTTCGGTAATAAGGTGTGTATGAATATGTGCTAAAATTGAAGTTATTTCCATATTCTTTGAAAGATCACGCCAGAGCATGGCTAAATGGAGTACTTTCCGACTCGATAAGGTCCTGGGTAGACTTGTGCAAAAACTATTTGCTATGGCATAATCCACTCAATATGAACAACCATCGTAGAAATGTCATAGCATCTTTTCGCCAAGTCGATGAATAGTCTATGTATGAGTGTTGGGACCGATATAAAAGTTAGCTTCGCAAGTGCACCATTATGGATTCCATGACTGGACTCAAGTTGTGATGTTCTACAATGGAGTCAACACACCCACTCGTATGATGTTGGATGCCTTAATGAATGGTACTCTGCTTGACAAATCACCCGAGGAAGCCTTTGATATCATTGATAGGAAAACCAACAATGATTATGAATTTTCATCTATAGGGCTTGGAACCGGAAGGAAAGTGTTTGGGGAATATGAACTTGACGCCAAGGATTCAATATCTGCCTAACTGTAAACCATTACTAATATATTGAAGAAACTTCAATGTTCTAGCGAAGTGAAGGAAGTTAAGGTGACAAGTTATGCATGTATTTTATGTCATGTCAATCATAATGTGAACGAATGCCCTGACAACTACGAGTCTTCCAACCACATAGGTATCTTCAATAGAGACAACAATAACCCCTATTCGAACACTTACAATCGAGGATGACTTCAATATCCGAATTTTTCTTCGGGGAATCAAGGAGCCAACAATACCAGCAGCTCGAATCGGCAACAAAATTTGGTTAAACCCCCAAGTTTTCAAAAAAAAATATGTTGTGGAAAAATATTTACAAAAGTTTAACATCTTTTTT